TATGACATCCTGAGGCAGAAACATGATTGATTTGAGCTGGAGCTCGTTCCTTAATTTCTAAAGCTTCTAACCTTCGCAGAATTGTCGCCATCTTCGCTTCAGAAGCAATGTTTGACTCTAAGGAAAGACCACAAGACTTAGATTGGGGAACTGATGAAACCCTATCATCGCACTGTTCCCATTGCATTGTTTTTTCAGAAAGACTCTCCAAAAACTCCCAAGCTTCATCAGCATTTTTCCTCATAAAATCCCCGTGGCACATTGATTCTAAGGAAGTTTTTGCAGAATAATCTAATCCCTCATAAATTATTTGGCACAATCGCCATTTCTCTAAACCGTGATGAGGACATTGGATGAGAAGATCTTTAAATCGGTCAAAATACTTCCAAAAAGGTTCTCCCGGGATAATTTTAAAGTTTTGAATGCTGTTCCTAAGCTTTACCGTTTTATGAATAGGAAAAAATTTCTTAAGAAAAACGGTGACAAATTCATCCCAAGTTGAGATGGAATTTGTTGGTAAGCTGTACAGCCATTTTTTAGCTTTATCCTTAAGAGCAAATGGAATAAATCTAAGCTTAACCGCATCTTCATTTAATTCTCTCATTTTAATCATAATACACACTTCCTCAAATTCCGAAATAAAAATATATGCGTCTTCTGTTTCATTACCAAGGAATTTGGAAAGCATGTTTATGTATTGTGGTCTAAGCTCAAAATTTATTCCATTTGTTTCGGGGAGCCTAATGCACGAGGGAATTGCATTCCTAATGGGATAGCACATATCATGAAGAACAGGTGGATTAAGATGCTTCATTTCTATGATTGGTTCAAAGCGAATTAATCGATGTGTATTATCCCTAATCCACTGTTGCATACACCAAAATATTTCTTTTTATTTTTATTTTTTATTTTTTTAAGAAGAAAAAAAAATTAGTTTTTTTATGAGAAGAAAAGGATAAAGAAAAACCTTAACTAAAATAAATCAAAACAATCACTTTTTAATCACTCTAATTCTAAGGTTTAGCCTAATTCACTAGACCAGCTCCTAACCAAAAACTCCTACAGTGAAAAGATAAAAGTTTTACCCAGGTAGTTAGCCAGGTAAGGATAGTACTAGAGGGTGATCAGAGATCAATTAAGTACCTCGTTCCTTACGGAGCGCTTTACACAACCCCTAAACCTTGCCTTAGACACCAACTAATCTGAGAAAACTTAAACCGGTTCACTTAAGGATTTCTTGTTCCTTATTGAGCTCGAATCCTTAGGGGCCAACGTCTAATGAGTTTTATTAGGCTTGAGTTTGTAAAGTGAGGAATTAGTGATTTTTGGGCTAAGGAAAGGGTGATGAAATCCCTCACCTTATCTTGATTATGGGGTTTTGCCCTTAAAAATATTTTTAAATATGTGCCAAATCAAGATACTCAAATCACTTGGTGAATTCCTACTATCAATATGAAATGAAACCCTATGAATTAAAAGCAACTAAAAAGTATGGAAAAGAAAAATCTCTTTTTTTTAATTAGGGTTAACAATCAAACAAATGAGAAGGGGGGATTTGTTTGAATTTATTATCTTGTTAGTAAATGTCAAAGTAGAGAGTGAATTTTATTATGGTTAACAAAAAATAAAATCTTTTTTTAAGTCCTAATTGTCTCTAATTGTGAAGAAGTAGCTAAAGGGTGGAATTAAAAACTAGAAAGAGGACTTACCCGAAAGCAAATCTTCAAATCCTAGTTCTCTAATCTGCGATCTTCAAGCTCCAAGCAGTTCCTTCACAAAAAACACACAAGTTAAAGAACTAAAATAATTAAAACCTACTTAAGCACCCTCCCCGACAACGGCGCCAAAAACTTGATGCGGTATAAACATGTACCAAAAAGGTTGCAAGTGCACAACCGTGTCAAGTTATAGTATAAAGATATCGATCTCACGAGGAAGGGTGTTTTGTAGGAGAAAATATAAAATCGGTTCTTATGTTGTGTGCGTGACAAATAGGAGTGATGAGTGAATGTGATTGTGGAGAGATAGAGAGAGTGGAAGTGATAGTGTGTAAATCGGCACGAGATATAAGTGAGAGTGGATGTGACAAAGAATGAATATGATCAATAAGGCAAGAAGGAAAAGGAAAATAAAAATCAAGAATAAAGAAAATAAAATTCAAGAATAAAAGAAAATGCAAGAAATTAAAGATGGTGGATTCAATTATAGATATGGGTAATCTAAAATTGAACCCACTTCTTATAAAAGGGTGATTCCCTAGAGGGTTCTAGCCTAAAGGCGAATCAAACAAAATAAAAATAAACAAAAAGAAAAACTAAACCCAAGAGGGTTCTAGCCTCAAGGTGAATAGTGTAAGAAATTAAAATCTAACTATAAAATAAATTACAAAATCTAAACTACAAAATAAAATTACAAGAATTAAATGCAAGAAAATAAATCTACTCTATAAGCATGAAATAAATTTAAGGCAAGATGGTTCTAGCCTCTTGGTTATTTAACAAGAAAATAAAATCTAACTATAAGCATAGAAATAAATCTAAACTAATAAGCAATAAAAAAGAAATAAAAGAGAAATGCAAACCTTTAAATAATTCTTCATCTTCATCTTCTTCTTCATCATCCAACAAAGAGAAGAAGAGAAAAATTTAAAGTGGTGAAAAAATTATTATTATTAATTATAATAAAAAGTTACAATTTTGGAAGCCCTTCTCAATTAAGAGTAGCCCTCCTCTCCAAAAGGAGTTACAAAAAAATTTCACACCCTTAACCCCTCACTCTCTACCCCTATTTATAGTAATCATCAATGAATATGAGCCATTGGATTTGTCTTGAGCCCCAAGCAACAATCTCCATCTTTGAATTTGCTTTTTGTTCTTCTCTAGCCCAACATAGGAGGCCCAATTGATTTTCAAAAATAAATGAAAATCAAGTTAGCATTATGATCATCAAGTCCGGCCCATTTTCATGATTCTCTTGTGATTAAAAAATCAAAGCTGTAGTAGCACATCCGGTCTTCATCAAGTCCGGCCCATTTTTTTTTCAAACAAATCTGCAGCAGGTCCAACAAGTCTGGCCCAAAATGATTCAACTCTACAGCAAATCAAACAAGTCCGACCTCTATTAATTAAAATCCAAATCTTTGCATCCAAGTCCGGTCCATTCCAACTTTTTGCAGCCAAGTCCAATTCAAATTTTTGAGAAAAAATAGGAGGAGTTGTCATGGTTGCTTTGAGACATTTGGGCTTTTGGGCTTTTTAAAATCAAATGTTTCACTTGAGAAAAGAGATGAGATTTTTGGGATTTATTCTTCATTAACCTGCAATTAAAGATAAAAGCAATTATTAGTGGTATATTTATTCATATAAAATAGATAATGAGGGTATAAAATTGTAATAAAATGTGATTATCACCTATTTGTCATTGTACTTGTTATTTTTTAGGCTAAACCGCGCTGGGCTCATTTTTTAGGCTAAACTAGTAAATGAATGTCACTTTTTAGGCTAATCTGATATTTTAGAAAATTTCTACAATATAATTGCAGATATCCAAACAATGAATTTAAAAACTGATCTCCCACAACAAATGTTGCATGCAAATTTTTTTTGCGGCAAACCAAACAGCCCCTAAGAAGGCTTTTTCCTACAAAATGCTACAATTGGGTGAAAGTTTAAAATTCAGGCTAAGACAGGGAAAATTATCTTGTATACAGTAGTAGATTATAGCAAGGTTGCATCAAAGCTAAAAAATTCCTTTAAAAAATGAAAATAAGGGGAACCTTTGACCCGAGGTTAAGAGCATCTCCAACCCTACTCTTCAAATTGGAATATTCCTAGAATATTCCAATTTGGAGAGTGGAATTTAGAGATTTGCTTCAGCCCACACTCTCTAAATATTTTTATTTTTATTTTTTTGTTAAAAAAACCATATAAATTAATAATGTTGGATATAGTTTACATTAATAATTTTATTTTTAATAATTATTTGAAAAAAAATAATAATATTAGAAAGGTGTCGACGAGAGCTTTAAAATAAACCCATATTAATAATAAAATACAACATATTAAAAAAATAAAATCTGTAATAACAGTGACAAAGCATACATCGATAAAATAAGGAAGCAAACATAAACCTCTACTACAACATACCATAGGTCGCAAACATAAAACTCAAACATAAAATATGATAACTGACAATTAAAATTCCGGCATGTCATTATCGTTATAACTACCGGTTCTATCCCGATCTCTCGATGAACCCCCATATTCATTTCTTCCTACAAAACCAGCTTCTCCCGCAAACCGAGAAAATCCTCCTTGATCTCTAGAGGAAAATCCATATCCGTTTTCTCCTCCAACAGCTCATTTAAGAAGCTCAGAAAATCCTCTTGGCCCTCTGGAGGAAAATCTCATTTTATGCTTCGGAACGCGCTAATTGAATATTTATGGCAGAGGCACGGCAACGAAGGAATGTAATTTAAATATTGTAATTTATGCTTGTATTTTCTTATGGGGTAAGTTAAATAGATCCCCGTATTTAAATTTTCATGTCTGATACTTATGTATTTAATTTAAAAAAATAATTTTATAATAATACTAAAATAAATTAATCTTAGTTTCATTTTGAAGATCTCGACTTGACCTTTCCAAATGTATAATTATTTCAAAAATTAGATTAATAATTTTTAACTATATTTATTTAAAATTAAACATCTAATTTAAATTACTAAGAATGATGGCAAAATGGTAGTTTTTAAAAAATTAAATAGTTAAAAGTGATAAAATTGTAAATAATGAAAGTTTGAATAGTGATTTGGAGAGTCTCTCCAAATTCTAGGTTCACTCTCTAAATTTGAAGAGTAAACCATCTTCAAATTTGAAAATCTTTAAATTTAGAGAGTGATTGGAGAGGATTTAGTGATTGGAGAGGATTTACTCTTCAAATTTGGAGGAATGGAGATTTTGGAGAGTGGTTAGAGATGCTTTAACAGCCACACGCTCTAGCCGAGGTATAAACCGTTCAAAACCCAAACGGGTTTATACCCGACAATTAGATCCCAACCCGAATTCGACCCACCTCCACCTTCACTCCGATACTTATAATAGGGTTTTTCTTTTGTGCCGGCGGAGTCTTTCACCGTTGCATTTTCCTCGCAACTATGGCGGTTCCAGGCCCTTACTCCGGCGTCAGCACTCTTGCTTTTGTATGTTTTTATAACTTTCCCCTCTTTTTGCCAATTATTTGCAAATTACCCCCTCAAGTTGACATCTCTTGTAAAATTTACACAGGTGGCCCGTGCCTCGGCTCTGGCCTTTGGTGTTGTCTATGGAAGCATCAAGCTCTCCGCCCTCAAGGTACGCCGTAAACAAATCGAATCTTAGCTCGCAATTTTCTTTCTTTTTGATTAGCTTTATCGCGTTCCTTTTAGAAATTGGCTTATTGATCTCATTAAATTGTTATTTGCTTTATGTAATCCATTATTTTGGGTAACTGTAAGGTAGATTGATGTGATTAGATCAATCTCATGTGGATCTTTTATCAAATTCGTGTGGGCTAAATGTGTAATTTGTGAGAAAGTATCCCGGTTGGCCTAGTCAATGACATTAAATGTGCATCAAAGGGATGCCAGCCGTTGGGCTCATGCACGACAAAATCCATTGATCCAAGGGTTGATATTCTTTGGTGCACATATGTGGGGTTATGATTTTTTTGGGTCATTTAATAAGTAGAGAGTATATATTATTTCAAGTAATGGTGCTTGGGGCCGTAATGAATTTAAGTTACTGGCAATATTTTCTTTGATGTATGGAGGAATCTCTTTAGCTACTGCCAGTGGCAAGGTGCAAATGTCATGTATTTTGATATTGCACTGGCTAATCGGGGATACTCGGGCAAACACCTACACAATTTATTGATCCGGTAAGACTTGGTAGTTAACAACGTCCACACTGATCTGAACACCAAAACAGACAAATAAGACGAGCAATGGGGTTATTTTTAGGTATCGTCTCTCCAATGCTTACCTCGGTTTCTCGATGTAGACAAAGAAATAAAGCAAAGGGATTCTAGTCTTTCGTTTGTGTGACCTCACTTACGAAGAAGGGGATAATTATAACTTCACGCCAGTTACTTTTGCAGTAACTGGAGATTCTTGTCGTGATTGGACTGCAGAGAGATAATTGCGCCATCTTTTACCTGGACTGTAACCAGCAGCCTTAGTCGCATGTTGTTACCTTCCACATGTATATGACAGCGTCACAGTTGCAGAATGCAGAGTTTCTCAATTCTTCTGATTTGAACAGGTTTCATTCCTGTTGTGACTCCTTTGGTGCTCCTCATATGTTTCGTATTGCTAGCTCAATGTGCCCCAAACTCCCTAATTGTTATGATCCTATGGGAAATATTAGTTTCAATATATGCCAATACATTTGACAAGATTTTATGATGGCATTTAAGTAGGGTGGTTGAATTCAACTTCCTTATTATGATACTAAATCCATTTTTAAATCATTCATATACACATAGAGCAGCACAATGCTGAAGATTCGATCTAATTCTCAACTCTACCGAGTCAAGCATGAAGGTAATGCGCACTTTTCTTTGTTGTGAATGGGGGGAAAATTTTCATACTCTCCTCTCATCACATTAGCAAAGAACTTTGCTTCCAACATCTAGATTTTGTTGAGTTGTATGTCATCTTATTTTAATGTTTGAATGTATGTTGCATGTAAAACTCTATGAATCATTTGAAACAGTTATTCATGCTTCCTACTTTTTCTTATGAAACACCCCACTGCTCTATGCCACTAACTTCCAGGTGTTTGCCGCTTCCCTCGCACAATCTTTCTGCAAGTCCTTTTTTTTCCTGCTTATTTTAATTATTTTATGGAATATATTTTCCATTACATTAGCCTTCTTTCATGAATGTCAAATCCTTATACCATCACTTCTTCATCCTCCCTCCAAATCCCTCAACCCATTTCTTCTCCTATGAGAATCTTGAAATGCTATAAGCTGGAATGCTAAAGGCTTGAGCAAGCAGTTTGTACTCATTTGTCCCTTCTAATGTACATTTCTGTTAGTCAAAGTCAACACTGTGATAGACTAAGTCCAATTCCCTGCAATCTTTGTGCCTCTGTCCATCCACAAATAGAGACACAGATGAATACAAAAATCCATGTACGAAAATTCATCTATGTTTCTTATTTATGGTTGTATGCTCGATATTTTCTGCAATTTTTAGTTTATGACAATGATTTGGACCACTTGTGCATCATATGATGGGATTGTTTTATGTAAAACAGATGCACCTGTGAAGTTCATTATAAATGTGTCCTGGTTCTGTTTATCTTTTCTTTCTTTATTATGGGATCAAATTTTATTATTTTGAACATNATTTGGATGTTAACATAACTACAGAAGGAGTGGACAAGTTCATATTTTCAAACCGGTAACTTTTCAAGTAAATAGGATATGTTTTTCAAAATCATTGCAAATAAGAACAAGAGAGATATGATACTGTCATAACTCATAAGACTCATGACTATTATACTTCATTGTTATAATTTGTTGAAATGTTGAATAGAAGAAGATCAACATAAAATAGAAAAAAAAGAAAAAGAAAAAAAGGATGAGAGAGATGAGGATAAAATGGGCTAACGGTCAATTGCTACCATCAAAGAATGAGAAAAATCGCTTCCAACCATTTTACCAATAATACAACCACATTAATTCTATCTTTATGCATTATAATTGAACATGCTTGATTATGTTAAAGATTCGTTCTGACTTGCAGATCTCGTAGGGGAAAAAAATGTCACACAAAATCAATGACATTTTGGAGAGAGAGAGAGAGAGAGAGAGAGAGAGAGAGAGAGAGAGAGAGAGAGAGAGAGAGAGAGAGTATATATATATATAGTAAAGCTCCTATGAACTTAAGTAGATGAGAGCCCTTTGTCCACCAGCTTCTTTATCTATTGATTTTATATTGAGATTTGTGCTAGCATGTGATATAAATCAAGGTACAAATCTCAAAGATAGCTTTGATGTGCAGGACAAATCTCAAAGCATAATGAAGGGATAAAAAAGTTGGTGGACATGTGCTCATATCCACTTAAGTTTATAGGAGCTTTACTCCATATACGCACACAAAAACATATAGGTAACACCTTAGGTTCAATCTAAGGAAGTACCTTCAAAACTGCATTATATGCAGACAATTTACTTAATCCACTCCGTTCATTATAATTTAAATGTCGCAAAACATCTATAAAACGAAAATCATGATGTTTCAATACTTCTAACACATATTTTTTATTGCCCCTTTAGTTGTATTGTCACAAAACCTTTAATTTTATAATCACTTTGCATGAGTAACTATAACCCAACATGCCTAATTTTTTGTTTATATACAATCCATAACATATATATCAAAATGAACGGAGTGGATTAAGTAGATTGATTGCATATAATATAGTTTGAAAGGCTTCCTTAGATTGAACCAAAAGTATCACCTTAGGAAGTAGGAACACTCTTCATATATATATATATATATATATATATAAGATAGTGAAATAACACCTTAGGAAGTAGGAACACTCTTCATATATATATATATATATATATATATAAGATAGTGAAATAACACCTGAAATCATAGATATTCTAACTAAGAAATTAACTAATGCTAGAATTCATACACTTAATACAGTGTTACCATCAACTTCTACAGTTATATCTGAAGAAGACAATTCGTCTGATACAGACAGCTCTAGAGATATAACTCCAACAGAATTATTAGCTGTAGAGAATAACTTTATAAAAATAAATAAAATTAAAAACCATCGTAGAAATAGACTGGAAAGATACTATTATAAAAGACCTACTCCAGCAGATGTTTTATTTGAAGAAAATGATGCCTATCTACAGGCAGATTACAATGGTAGAAATATCTATGAATGAAATATAGATGGGTTATTAGATACTCAAATTAATTCTACTATACATAGAATGCTAACGTATGGTACAATTTGTAAACAAAATGGTAATACTGAAAGAATGATAGCTTCTTTCATTATCTTCTTCTAGTCTTTGCAACTTTCATTATCTTCTTCTGGTCTTGAGAGAATGTATTTATTCTCTTGCTTTAAATCTTTTACTTCTTTTTTCAATTCTTGTATCTTTTTATTAAGAGATGATAAAGATATGTCTTTAGAAGTATGGATAATATTTTGCCTTCGTTTTTGAACTTCAGAAAATTTAAATACATTGTCAGTATTTGGACTTTCTTTAGTTTCTTTACTAGTTATATTTTTTAGAAGTTCTTCTTTTAATTCTGAGGATATATCTTCAGATAAAATTTTTGCTAATAATTCATGATTTGATTTAATCATGTTAATAGAGAGTCCATTCATTTGGATTATAGCTTTCTAATATTCAGCTTCTTCGTTACAGTTATTAACTATACATGTACACTTTTCTTCTTCCTCAGATTCTGAGGTTGATGAATATGATTCATCTTCAGTATCACTGTTAAGCATAATTTTTTGTAGCATTCTTTTAAGACATTCGTCTTCTATTTCATTAATTTTTTTTTGTATAACAGCGATTTGCATAGTGTCCGATACGACCACATTTTTAGCAATGTATTTTACTTTTTTCTTTTTTAACTTTCTTTTTAGCCCTATCTGGCTTCTCTCTTTCTTTTTCTTTAAAGAAGAATTTTTTTCTTTTTCTTAAAGAATTTTTTAGTTTTCCTTTATTAGGAATACTTTCTTTATCAACCTTATATGGTACCTTATATGGTTGATCGTAAGCAAATTGTTCACAAAATTCTCCCAATTCTTTTCTTTTTGTAAGTCTTTGAGACTTTAATTGGTTTTTGAGCTTTAAGTCTTTGCATAAAGCTAAGTCTTCTTTTATACAGACATTTGACTAGTACCCATATGATAGGTTGTCATAAGGGATATATCCCCCATATTCAGATCGGATTTTATTCCGAACTTTTTCTGCAAATAATGTGTAAACCATCAATAAATTTAGCTTTCCAGTGAGAGCTATTAGCATCACTGAGAGACATAAATCTGCTAAGATATGTGTCTTTATACCACCTAAAATGAGTTAAAGATGGATATCTAAAATTTTATAACAATGTCCTAATTCTTTCACCTTTATCAAGATAAGCACCAGTAAAATGATGTGCTATAGCTAACATTAATGTATAAACAACATCTTTTTGCTGAACTCCTTTTTCTATTTTAGTAGCTCCTAGAATTTCATTATAAGCTTCGGCAGATAGATAATTATCCCACCATTCTTTAAGGATGTCAGTAAAACCACAAGTGATAAAAGAAGC